TTTACTTTTTATGTTTGTTTGACTTCTATAATGCTCCATTACAAAGTTCTCTGTGTGGTTCATAGAAAAATCCAAAAGTGAAACAAGGGAAGCAATAAAATGCATATATAATATAAAAATATTGACAAAGGTTTTTTTTGGGCAAAAAAGTGGCATCAGGCTCTAAAATGTACATTGCAAACTATTTTCTATAGGTTACTTACTTTCCCTGATGTCACATGCTACATTTGTTTACTTTTTATGTTTGTTTGACTTCTATAATGCTCCATTACAAAGTTCTCTGTGTGGTTTATAGAAAAATCCAAAAGTGAAACAAGGCAAGCAATAAATTGCATATATAATATCAAAATATTGACAAAGTTTTTTTCTTGAAAGAAAAACACACATCCTCCAGGTTAAAACCAGACTCTCTTAAAAAGCTCTTTGAAATAAGATTGCTTTCAGCTGCTGCCTGAAAACCTAGAAGGAGGTTTCCAAACAAACCTTTCTGGGCACTAGAATCTTTTTAAAATGTTCTAGATCTTAAGGGTGTCCCCCATACCTAATGCAGTGTGTGTACTCTGACAAAAGCATCCTCATTGAACAATATGAATGCTTGGCAGAGATGGGGGGGGCGTCATGATCTCTTTACACACTGGTCAGATGTGTTTAGGGTCATAGTCCTGGACAGTGAAAAAAGTGCAAAATATAGGTAAAACAATCACACCTTCCATTGACAGGCATATTTTTAGGTACATTATTACTGAAAACAGTTTTTGTAGTAGACAAAATTATACACTCATAGGGGTCCATGCAACCAGTGTTCCCTCTAAGCTGAGTCAGTGTGAGCTAGCCCACAGTTTTTTAGCCTCCAGCTCACACATTTTTGTCTTGGCTCAGGAAGGACGGCTCCAGAGCAAACTGATTTCTGCAGCAGCTGAACAGCTCGTCCACGACTTTAATGCCAGGAGCTCACAAAGTAGAATTTCTGCTCACAAGACTCCACAGCTTAGAGGGAACATTGCATGCAACCCCCCTAAAACAAGAACAAAATGTTTCATACCTTTTTATTATGTCTAACCAAATTGCAATGAAACACTGTGCAAACTTGGAAGCTCACTAGAGCTCTTCATCAGGCTGGATGTTGAAGAGATTAAAAAGATAGAAGGCAGGATTCTCAGGCTTTTATCTTAACGTCTAATCTTACAGGGATCTTTTGTGAGACACCAGCAGGCAGTTAGCTTCCTTACTTTGTTGCTGAGCTGTAGAGTTACAGCACGGTCTCTGGGAGGCTCAAATGCCAAATGAGAATCATGAGGTAATGCCATCTAATTTGGCTTTCATTACTCTATTACCTTGTGTGACACCTTTAACAATGTTTAATTTAATATAACAAAGTTTGAGTCCAGTGGCACCTTTAAGACCAATAAAACCTTTTAAAGGTGCCACTGGACTCAAACTTTATTCTGCTGCTTCAGACCAACACGGCTTCGCCACCTGAATCTATTGTTAATAAAGAGACCCTGAATGCTCCCTGTGATTCTCAGCCTGAAGGAACTGTAATTCTTGTTTGGCATTTGAGATGACTTTTGAATGGATTTGGGTGTTTCAGTGGGAGAACAAAGAATCAAAAACCTTTTGTTAATGCAGCCTCCCAGAGACCATGCTGTAACTCTGCATCTTGGCAACAAAATGAAGAAACTAAGGGCATCTCACAGAGGATGTCAGTAAGACAAGATCATGGCCTGAGAATTCTGCTTTCTATCCTACTATCTTTTAAAATTTAATAACATCCAGCCTGATGAAGAACTCTGGTAAGCATGGAGGCTTGCACAATGTTTTGTGCCCATTCAGTTGCTCCTCATAAAAGGTACTACTTAGATTTTGTTCCTGTTTTTAATAATTTCTGTCTGTCGCCTTCAAAACTCGCCTCATTTATACATGAATATGCTGGATTCTGATCACATTAGCACAGATGGATGCTTTGTTTTGCTAGAATATTACTATCTATCTCAATCTGGAGAGATAAAAATGGTAAATGAGAGCCAATATTTTTAGTTGCTTGTGCTAATGTGTTAGGTTATATTTGTGAAACAACAGACATGCAAGAATTAAAATGTTAAATTCTGCTCCTGAGCAATTTCTGAATTCATTTTTCCTTAGGTGGGCTAGAAATGAGACCTGTAAACAGTACAGTATCCTTTCTTGGTCAATACCACATTGTACCTAGGCATTTGTGTGTCTTTCTGGTTAATGATCAGACATAGTACTTTGATCAGACGTTCCAATGTTGCTTTCTAGAATATGGTAGTTTTTGGTCTCCCTACCTTCACTATGTGCAGCTCAGTTAAGCAAGTCTAATTTCTTTTTCAATTTATGTTGTTTTTCTATAGCTATGCTATAAATCTGTAATGGCCTCCAGATGTTTTAAACCACAACTTGATGGAGGATTTCAAAATTGGTTTATAGAATGTATTGGCATGTTAAGTTTTCAGATTATCGATAGCAAAGGAGGTACAGTAAAACAAGTGAATAGATACCCTTTCTCTATGCCTTTATAAAAAGCTCTGTGAATGTGTGCCCTGGCTGCATAAGTTAATTGTCACAGTTTTGCTTTAGATAAAAGTATTCAGCTTAGTACTGCTGCTAGGGTTACTAGACTGAAAATGAGTGAACCTTTCTGTTTCTTGAAAATCCTAGCAGTTCTGAAAGACCATGCAGTAGTAGATTCTCCTGCTTCTGTCATCCACCTTTCCATTCTTTTACCTGTTGGATCTTGCAGAAATCCTGCATGCCCCATAGTAGGCAGTTGTGCACTGGCAGAATAGATGATGGGGAAGCTGTAGCATGGTGAGAGGAGAGCAGTATCAGGAGTATAAACCACAGCAATCACTATTTTGAAGAAAAGGCGGCAAATCATAACTGATTAAATTTCAAATAGGGATCAAGCCTCTCAGGCATACATGCAATATTGACCAAGAGGAATTTTCTACCTCTTAAGAGTGTTAGGGGTGTGTGCACATGCCTTCTTTCCCCACTTACTGCAATGAGTGAGTCATGAGGTATCACATTTATTTGAATGTGGGATTTCCCAACCCTGCAGTCCATACCTGCCCTTCAGTACAGAGTAGTCGGGTTAGCAGGAGAAGGCTGTCTAAATGCTGCAGCCCTGGACAAACACTTCCTGTGATAGCACTACACAGGGAGAAGGACACTCTGTCCTCTGCCACTGACCAGACCCCCATGGACCACAGGGAGATTGTACTCCCTCTCTCACAGGAAGAAAACCATGGCAAGAATGATTAGCCAGCAAAGGAGCAAAACAAGTAGCTTGCTTCCCGTCTCCCCACACAAACCTGCTCTGCCTGATAATTGTTCTTAGACTTGCAGGGGCAATGTAGAAAATGACTTTGGGACCATTTTATTTTGGTAAGATTGTAAATAACCCATTTATGACACAATCATTAAAACAAGAAGAAAAATGTATTGAAATATGGTACCCAATAATGGAATACTTAACAGAATAAGAGGTAATTCCAAATAATTTACATTATAAGAATTTGTTGTCATTTTGAAAAGAAGAGGAAAAAAGACTTGCAGGCAGAGGTCATTTCGGGGGGATCGCAGGGGATCGCAGTTCCCCTGGGTGAGGTACAGGGGGCGGGGCACATGATGAAGCCCCGCCCCCTGCTTCCGGCCGCCCCACTTCCAGCCCTCATTCAGCCAGGAGGACGCAGGGGAAGAGGGAGGGTAAGTTGCTTCCTCCAGTGGAGCTGCAACGCCGGCGGCGGCCGGGACCGTTGGGGGCGGGGTGTGTGGCCTTATGACACACTTCCGGTGATGTCAGGGTGTGTGGCCTTATGACACACTTCTGGTGATGTCAGGGGGTGTGGGCATATGCTAATGAGTTATGCTAATGAGTCCCCCTAGCTCTTTTTCTACGAAACGACCCCTGCTTGCGGGGCAAGGGAAGAATACTGTACTGTTTTAATGGTTTTAATACATGCAATGTGCTGTATGAGCACTGTATACCCCTGGTATGTATAGGGAAGTTCTGTTCATTCAGGCTGCTGTACAGGGTGATCATGTTAAAAACTGTGTACTTGCACTATGGGAAAGCACATCTTGGTTGCCATGAAGTGAGACATCTGACATTTGTTAGCCCAAAGGCAAACAAGCTTACCGTATTTTATTAGTCCTCTTCCTTCCTTGTGTATTAAACCAAGTAGGACTCATCACTGCTTCAAAAAGTTATGTGGAAAACTTTCAACAAACCTTATTAAAATACAGTGTAAAATATTTCTGCTAGATGCATTATTTTTTTAAAAAAAACTGCTTCTCAACAGCATTGAACTCAGGGCACACAAAAAAAGAAATAAAGAAAAAACCTCTGTGGGGAAATGATCTGTATATTATGACTAAGGAAAACATGAAGGGTCAGCTGTGCTTGACTTTGAATTTGTTCTGAATATGCTGGTTTGAATCCCACACAAACCCATTGGTGATAGAAGGATTTCGGTCAGTGGAGCACAACTGCTCTGACTCCCCCTCCCACTGCTGCGCCAAATGCCCTCCAAATATAACTCCTAGTAGCATTGTGGGTGGGGGAGTCAAAGATCTGCAGAATTGGCAAAAATTGCCCCCCTTTTGCCAGCAGAAATTATTGGCAAGATCCAACCCTCTGATTCTGTCATTTGCTCCTCTGTTAAATCAACAGAAATTGTCTACAATTCTCTTTTTGTGTTACATATGTAATGGAAAATATTTTAAAATTGATTTCAGTGTATTATACAGCATTAAACTCTCTCTGTTTCTAATGTGCTAATATGTACCCATTGACTTATTTTACTAGGATGACCAGGTATTCCCACATAAAGAGTTCCAGTTCCCTACGATCAATAGTCTTTTTTCCCCTTTCATTTTGGGTCAGTGATTCTGTGCTGAAACATCAGCAAATATAATAAATAAGTCTGCTAAGAACTTTGTTAGGAAAGGATATCATTCATTTATTGTTTGTCAAGGGCTGTGCCTGTGAAATGAGACCATGACAACTGATGAGGCTACGAAGAAAGAAGGAGAGGTCCAGACAGCAACGCTTGCTGAACAAGGCGAGGATATCACACCAAACAAAGATCAAGGAGTTCTGAAGGTAACACTGAGGGAGAAGTTAATTGAAATGTTCTTGACTAATTCAACAAATAGTGAAACATATCTGGTAACTATCGAAACAGCAGCATTTTTTTAAAAAAAGCTTAAGATTTTTCTGTTTTCATTACAGCTAGAGCCAAGCTAGATGTTACAGTGGCCATGGGTCTGACCCATGGCTGCCATCACCATTTTAGAGAAAAGTTAGGTCATTTAAAAATGTTGTGATGGCAGCACAGCTGGACCACATAATCTCCCCCCCATGTGCCTTGTCGGGTGCTAAACCAATCCCCCCACAGCTGTTAAAAAGCCAAAAACTTCTCTAAAATGGCGTTGGCGGCTATGGGTCAAAGCCACGACCACCATAACGTCTAGTTTGGCCCTTAGTCTGTGATTCTCAAAGTTTGTCATGGATTAACAGGATTTTTAAAAAAATCTCTCAATGTGCAGTAAATCTGGAATATTTCGCAATAAACTGCATATTGAATTAGCCATATGGCTGTTCATTCAGTTAGGCTCCTTCCACATGGCAATAATTGTCTGTGTAGCCTTCATTGCTGCTGTGAATACACAGGCATTTGCAGCAACAGTGGAGCATCTACATGGCAGTTTTCCCCATGCTTGCTTTGTCTCAGTCCCCTTTGGCTACCATCTCCATCACTGCCAAAGGGTTTTTTCTATAAAATGGAAGTTGACCTATCACTATAGCATTATAATGGCATAACAGTCTATTGCTACAACCTGCTAGTTCCTATGAATTTGCAGCTTGCTTTTTAAATAAGCAAGTTTCATGCTCTCTTCAGTGCAGAATGTACAACGAAAAGGATACAGATGTAATTTTTAAAAATGAAAGCTGGGAATTGAGAGACACTGCTAGACCATGGCAGTATATTGATATATGCAGCATGGGGCAGAGGTTATAGTGTTGGACTAAGAAATAGGAGATTCAGGTTTGAATCCCCACTCTCCTATGGAGAATTGCTGGGTGACCTTGGGCCAGTCACACATGCTCAGCCTAACCTCCCCCCCAGGACAAAATCGAGAAGAGAGTGATGTAACCCACTTTGGGTCCCTGCTGGGGAGAAAGGTGGGATATAAATGAAGTAAATAATAAATATCGCCGTAGCTTAATGTTTTAATAATTTCTAATTAAAATTTCCAAAGTGTCATTAATGGAGATCCACATTGAACAGATTATAGAAGCAGTGTCTCAAAGTTACAAAGGCATAAAGGATGGACTTGCAGCCTTCTTACCAGGTTACATGAAGTGAGTATAGCTCATTCTATATGTGTAGCTCAGGCTTCCATCACATGCCCAACAACACTTTGTACATATAATGTCCTCCTATATTTGGCTTTGCTTGAGTGGCCAGCTGTACTCTGTGTTTACTGCCCACTGAGATTTCACCCTAATGAACCTTCACTATAGCTGACGTGCTGTTCACTTCAGACCAAGTTTTTGTTGTGTGAATCGGCCTTAAATGTTCCTGAGTTTAAAACAGAATGGATTGAATCCCACTGCAAGTATATGAGTGTATTCATATATTATGAAGCTGTGTATTTATATATTACTACTTATACCTCCAGAAATTTATTTCTGGATATAGCATATAGCTTACATACTTCCCTTGCAGTCTTCTGTAATTTATCAGCTGTCTCATTCATTTTCATATCTGGTTGCAAAACACATTCAGTATGGAAGAACCCTTGTAAATGGTCACAAGAAGTGCTTGAACTTCTATCAGTTGGATTCTTTGTATCTTCTAGATTGTGAAGAGACCAGGGAATAAAGATGAATCTCCTATGATTGGAGACAAGGTTTATGTCCACTACAAAGGGAAGCTGGCCAATGGGAAAAAGTTTGATTCCAGCCGTGACAGGAATGAACCATTTATCTTCAGCCTGGGCAAAGGTAAAGAGTGGAAAAGGTGGAGAAAGGTAAAGAGAGAGCCTTAGGGATATAAACTGGGTTCTTGTCAACTAAATTACAGCTTATTTATATTTAGTTCTGTTTCCATTGTGTTACCAAGAGCAAACAGAGGGCTGAGAGATGGCAAATGTCTGGATTTGCCACTGCCGTGCAAATCAGTCACTTTGTTTCATTGCCTCATTTTACTGTTGTGAAGTGTTGAAGGCTAGCTCAATATACAGCAAATGTAATCTTGAATATACATTATTTTGAAACTTCATTTCCATGCCTCCCCACCTCCAGTGTGAGAACTCTGAAAAAAATTTTTTTTAATATTTTAATTGAAGAACTATATTACTTACAACAACAAAAAATACATAAATTGTATATAACATCACCTGATGTTTAAACTAAATTATATCAATTCAACTTATATGTCCTTACGTTATATTTATATCTCTTTACATAAGTGGTGGTCTTTTTTCGTTCTTTCAAAATGATAATTATGCATTGAAACATACATGATAATTTTTGGTTTCCTAAATTCCAGCATCTTCTATCTTCTGTTATAATCTGATAATACAGTTGATTGACTAGTAAGGTATGCATTGGAGCCCAGAAAACCATTAGGTCTATAGAAGCTTACAATGTAAGCTAGGGGAGAGCCTTCTCCCCCACCCCATGACCTACAATATGAGAGCACATACCTGTCTGCTCCCCAGGCCTCCCAGCCCCCCAAACATTATATACATCGAGCTGATAAATATGTAGCTTGCTATTGTGATAGAACATTACAAAATTACATCAAGCTCTATTTCACCATCCTCTGTTTCTTCAGAAACATGAAGCTTGCGGCTTTTAACTGGCGTCAATGGTGAATGAGTCTTCCTTTTTACAGCTCAAATTTCAGCTTGCTCTATTGAGGCAAACCTAATGCAGATAACAAAGCTGATCCAGGAACAGAGTCATATGCAATATATTGAGTTTGCTGATATTCCACAAACATTTTACCTGACCGCAACCAACGGTATTTTATACCTGCTGCCTTCAGTTTAGAAGTAATAGGTTTTACGTCTCTTCAAATCTTAAGCATTTCTGGGGGAAGGTCCGGAAATAAAAGTATTTTGCTTCCTTGAAAATCCAAGCCGGTCTGCTGACGTGCTTCCAACAAGATTTTCCTCTTAGTCCTATAGTCTGCCAGCTCCACTGCTGTGTCTCTACCAGAAAGGGCAGCCTTGGAGGAATCTGTTGTTTTACCTACAGGGTACGCTCGCAATGTCAGTGGTGCCACTCCCTCCTCAAGTTTTAAAGAAGCAGCCAACCAGGATGCCATGAAAATAGAAAGGTCAGTTGTTGCTTCGGCATTTGATGAAAAACCACGAAATTTCAAGTTTTTGTCTCTTACGCGAGACTCCAACATCATGATTTTTTCTCTAGACCAACTGTCTTGAGAGGAGGTTCCAAGCTTTTTTTCCAGGGAGGCGGCTTTCTGTAATGCTTCTTCTGCTTTTTGAGCAGTTTGCTTATATTGAGGCTCCAATTCCTCCATGTGTTGGGCTAGAGGTGATATCATATCCATCATATCTTGCCTCAGCTCCTGACATTGTCTCCCCAATGCTTCTAATAAGAACTTTGGTGTGAGGAGAGAGTCAGCAGTATTTGTATCACCATTACCTGAAGAAGCTGAAGAGGTGCTGGCAAATTCAGCTGATACAAAAAGTTCCTTTAGCAAAGGAGCTCCCTGGCATTCTTTTGAGTCTTTTTGCCCTTAGAAGCTTTAGGCTGCATATTTTAGGTCAGGTTTGTTTGAAAATAGTCAATTAAAGTTGATTTAAGAGCGAGAGGTCTGGGAGCAGCCGGTAATGCACTCTGAAAATTATACTTCTGTCAGGAGGCTAGAGTATTCTAAGCATCTTCAGCAATCTATAATTCCCTTCTTTCTTTGAGGAAAACCATTGTTGTTACACTAGTTTAACAGCAGTTTAGAGTTCTAGTGTAAACCTGCCCTCAGCAGGTCCTGCAGAAAAATAGGCAAGTATTGCTGCAGTAGCACTACCCAGAACGTTTGTACACAAAGTGAATCTGTCCTCTACTGTCTGTGTATTTGCATGGGCACTCTGAAAAATGGAAATGCGTGAGCACTCTGAAAAGTGGATATGTATGTTTTTTCTAAGTGTATGTGTGTGCATGCATGCATGCATGTTTGTTCATTTGCTCACTTCCTTCTGTTTCCATAGACAAACTGGGCTTAGTGTGACCACCAGCTGACCACCAAGGCTGGCACAAGCTAGCTTTGTGTAGTCTGTGCTTTCTGATGATGGAATAAGATTATGTTTGGGTGGGAGAACCTGGTTTTGGCCACCAGCTAACCCGCAGCCATCTTCAGGCTAATCTGGAGTTGACTTCAGTTGTGATCTAAGCTGAAACAATCAGAAGCCAAATATGGTGTATCTATTGCTGTGTCCTGCTTCAGATCGCAGGTCTGATATTAAGACTTTTATCCTCCATTGCTCCCGCCCCCTTTGAAGTAGTACTGTCAAGGAACAGATGAATTACATTAGGCTGCTGATCATGTGATTTGTCTCTGGGTAAAAGTATTTTTTGTTCTCGGTGTTGTGTTCAGTCTTCATTCTCATGCCTTTCCATTAGAGGCTGTAGGAAAAAAATGATTTTTTAAAAATACCTCCTTTGGAGAAAACTGTCATACATTTTTGAGATAAGAAATATAAAACTGAAAAAACTGAGAGAAAATAGTTTTTAAACCCCTTTTAAAAGTCTACATGTCCTTTATTAATCCAAATAATTAGAGATGTGTTTACTAGGAGAAAGGAAGAAAAAATACAAAACTGATGTAGACAGAATGGATATATCTGCTGACAAGATTTTAACTTTGACTTGCCCTTTAATGTTCTATGAACACAATTTCTTGAAATCCTCCTATTTCTCCTTCTGATGTCTGGCACTTTATTATAAAGCAAAGTAAATCCCAATATAAGCACCAAGAGTTTAATAAAAATAATAATAAAGGGTTTGTATTCAGCTGAGGAAAGAAGGACCTCAGCTGCTATAGAGACATAAAATAGCACATTCCTTTTTGAACTTGTTTTCCAAAGATAATTCACAAAACCCTTTGGATGAGGATTATTTTGGCCTATAGCATCTTGTTTCTCTCTTGTACTTGAATTCATACAAAAAATGAAAATAGTGAATGATAGGTCCTTTAACCTGGAAATAATGTGATGGCTTTCATCCTCCCCCATCTCTGAGGATGGTATCCTTTAACTGTCCTCCTTATAATGTTCTCCTCCCTTGCAAAAAGATACAGGCGAGAGGAATTTTCCTGACTGAGGAGAATGCTTCTTCAAGAAGGTATGCTGAAGATCAAACCTAAGCAGCTTCCAGCAGCAGTGATGTTGATTTCATAAGTTTTGTTGTGCTTTTTGAAACCCTGTGGACCCACTGAACCATCAGATTGTTCTTACCACTAATGTGGCCATATTTGTAGATGGTGTGTGCTCTCCCTTGTTGTTTTCGGTTGGATATTTTGCTTTTATCAAATCTATAGGCCCGCTGCCGTTCCTAAATGATAAACTTTTTATGTGAACGTTTCTTGCTGAAAGTAATGCTGTCCCTCACAGAACAGGAACAGCAATAATAATTCATAGCTTGCTTGAGCAACTGTGTGACACTGAATAAACTGAGACAAATATCTTGATTTGTATCAATGTATGTCTTTAAAAAAAATCAGTTTGTCTTGTTTTGCTAAGCTTCCTTAAACAGATTTCTTTTTATTCCTTTTTAATAGGCCAGGTCATCAAGGCATGGGATATTGGGATCGCCACCATGAAAAAGGGAGAGATTTGCCACTTGCTGTGTAAACCAGAATATGCATATGGTTCTGCTGGCAGTGTCCCCAAAATTCCCTCCAATGCAACACTGTTCTTTGAGGTAAGTGTGTATGTAAACTGAACAGCAGTGTACTCCTAAATAAAGTTCAAGAAGGAATTTAAAGTCCCCTCCTGCAGTATTTTCCCAACCTGACATGGCCTCCAGCAAACCACTGTTTGTCCCCCACTACAGGTAGCTAATGTAAGGGTGAAAGTAACTGACTAGAATCCTGGTCATGTGGATCAGCCCTTGAATCTGTTGCTTGTGTTTCTTGCTGGGCCTCTTTGTTTTAAATATGGCAGATTAAATGTGATTTATCACTTCTTTTGAGATTCTTACTACTTGCTTATTTGCTTTTTTAAAGATTGAGCTGCTTGATTTCAAAGGAGAAGATTTATTTGAGGATGGAGGCATCATCCGTAGAATTAAAAAGAAAGGTGAAGGATACTCCAACCCCAATGAAGGAGCTGCAGTACAAAGTGAGTGCCAGTTTGGATGAGGGACAGCAGTTCATCAGCTGATGGTCAGGAAAGCTTTTTTCTTTCTGAGTAAAGTATGAGTGGCTATAATGGGAAGATCAGCTTCAAACCTGAAAAACTAGATTAACACATTTTGTGCTGCCACATCTTTTAGTGTTGTATTCTTATGAGATGCCAACAGAACCCTTACATTCCTACAGTAAAGCAACTATTCTTGCTTAACTATATCAGCTGTCCTTGCAGTTACAGCATTTTAATTCTAAAACCTACACTTACTTGCTGTTCATATGCCTAGACTCATAAGGCCAATTTCCCCATGCCAGCCTCTGTTATGTTCCTTCAACCTCTTTTGTTTAGGTTACCTTTAAATATTCACCCAGTATTTTAAGTCCATTAAGAACCTGACTGTCCTTTTCCCAACAGCTTGAGCAACCAGCCACTTCTTTCCTCAGTTTTTGTTCTGTATGTTTCTGCTCTGGTCCATGTTGCTTTTGTTCCTTTTGAAGCTGAGACCAGAGCCTTAGGATGATGAGTTGAATCTTTTATCTTAGTATCCTATAGCTTATATTATTTATACTCTAGCAATAAATCAATAATAAATAAGGTCAATACATGTGGGGAGGTGGTGGTAGAGCATGCTTTGCATGCAGAAGGTCTCAGGTTCAATCCCCAGAATCTCCAGTTAAAAGGATCAGGTACTAAGTGATGCAAAAGACTGCTGCCTGAGACCTTGGGAAGCCTCTGCTGATCTGAGTAGATAATACTGACCTTGATAGACCAGTGGTTTGATCCAGTATAAGGCAGCCACACGTGTGTGTTCATATGTAGAATTTTTTTTCTTGCTTCATCAGTTACGAGACCTACCCCCAGCCTTGCTGAAATAAATATATATAATGGTATTTGCAAGAATAATCTGTAAGTTAAATGATAGTGTAAAACACTGCTGTGCATGCAGTCTGGACCAAGTTATTAAATGAATTATTTTTGCTCCTTTGGTCAAACTTAAGCTGGCTGTAAAATATATCCTTGGGAAGCTGGAAGTGGGAAGTAGGGTTGCCAGCCTCCAGGAGGGGCCTGGGGATCTCCCACTTTTACAACTCATTTCCAGCTGACAGATATCAGTTCCCCTGGAGAAAATGGCTGCTTTGAAGGGTGGACTCTGGCACTTTACCATGCTGAGGCCTCTCTCCTCCCCAAACTCTGCCCTCTCCTGAATCCACCCCCAAAGTCTCCAGGTATTTTCCAAACCAGACCTGGCAACCCTAGTGGGAAGAGACCTACTTATTAGCTAGGACTGTCCTTCAGCTGTAAAAGTCTAAATCAGAGGTCCCCAGTGTGGTGCCTATGGGCACCATAGCACCCACCAATGCGTTTTCTGGAGCCCACCAAGTGTTTTTAGGAAGCGGGTGGGGCCAGGTAGGGCTTTTGCCCAGGACGGGTTCTGAATGGCTATTGGGGATTTAATTGAGTGTGCAGATTTTAAAAAATGTTGCTTTGGCAGCAGCTGCTACCACAGCACAACAATCTTCACTGTGTGACTGAAGTAAAGCTATGGCAATTATTTTGTGGCTGGTTCTGCCTCCTCTGACAGCAGTTTTGCGGCAGCCATGCTGTAGCTGTGACCATCATGCAGTGTCAGAATTCCAAAGGTGCCTGCAGGCTCAAAAATGTTGGGACCCCGGTGTAAACTAACCATGATAAGGGGAAAACCTTTCTTTGTGTCTGGGCAGAAATTCAGATGCAGTGTCTCAGGCAGGCTTATGACTGGCTCAGGTCAAGTAGTCCTGGCTATAGTTTGTTGTAAGGAGAGAAGTAGGGATTTTGTGGCACAGCAGGTGACCTGTTGTCACAGAAAGGTAGGCTGGGGAAGGGGTTCAAGTAGAGAGTGAATGCCAGTTATTTCCAGGCAAGGTGCCACTGGACAGTTACTTTTTTTGGCAGTTACCACATGGAAAGGCCTAGGAGTGGTGTGAGGACAGGTTTTAAGGAAGGAATCCTTTCTGAGTGAGTAGTGAAGCAGGCCAGCAGGCCACAACCAGAAGACAGAGTCCCATGAAGCTGGTAGGAGAGAAGAACTCTGCCAGAAGAGGTTTATTTTTTTAATTTTATATTTCATTTATATCCCTCCCTCCCTCCCTTAGGGCGGCTAACAGCATTAATATACATTAAAATTCCATTAAAACCATCAATCAATATAAAACCGTACATCATAAACATAATTTATATTAAAAGATGGCAAATCTTCCAATCACTGTCAACTGAACGGTGTCCCTAAGTTCGTACCAGCTATAAAACCTCAATTGGTGGTGCTGTTGGTACTGTCAGTACCAATGATGTACAATTGTTGGCACAGCTGGTAATTGGGCCAGGGCCATACAATCGAGGCGGCACCCTACTTAAAAGCCTGGTGGAAGAGCTCCGTTTTACAGGCCCCGCGGAGCTGTAAAAGGTCCTGCAGGGCCCTGATGTCCTCTGGGAGCTCATTCCACCAGTGAGGGGCAGCCACAGAAAAGGCCCTGGCCCTTGTTGTAGCCAACCTGGCCTCTTTAGGCCCCGGAAGAACCAAGTGATTCTGGGAACCCGATCTTAGTGCTCGCTGGGGTACATGTGGGGAAAGGTGGTCCCTCAGGTAAGCAGGTCCCTGGCCATATAGGGCTTTAAAGATAACAACCAGCACCTTGAACCATATCCGGGATGCTATAGGCAGCCAGTGCAGAGTTTTTAGTGTGGGCTGGATGTGTTCCCGCATAGGAAGACACTACAACAGCCTCACTGCTGGGCAAGGGGGCGCATATAGATGTTGAACAGCATTGGGAAGAGCACCACACCTTGGAGCACTCTGCACACTAGTGGTTGTCTTCTGGACAGTTGCTCCCCAACTGCCACCCTCTGTCCCTGGTCCCGAAGAAACGAGGAGAGCCACTGTAAGTCAAACCCCTGAATCCTGATATCAGTGAGGCAGAGGACCAGTAGTTGATGGTCGACCATGTCGAATGCCACCGGCAGGTCTAACAAAATCAACACCGCTGTGCCACCTCGATCCAGATGCCTCTGGAGATCATCTGTGAGGGCGACCAGGACTGTCTCTGTTCCATGGCCTGGTTGGAAGCCGGACTGGAAGGGGTCTAATGTGGAGGCGTCATCCAAAAAGCCCTGAAAATGATTTGCCACCGCCTTCTCAATTAATTTACCCAAATAGGGTAAGTTGGATACCAGCCGATAGTTGACTCATTCAGCTGGATCGAGCGATGTCTTTTTTAATAGGGGGCCTACTACTGCCTCTTTCAGGGCACTAGGGAACAATCCCTCCATAAGGGATGTGTGGATGATCACCCTTAGTGCCCATCGTAACCTATCACGGCCAGCTTTAACCAGCCACGAAGGGCACAGGTCTAAACTACAGGTGGTTGGGTGAACCAATGTGAGCAATTTGTCAATCGCCTTGGCGGAAGGGCGGGGTAAAAGTCTAACAAATAAATAAAATAAACCTCCTCTAGACAGAGCGGATCGAAATAATCCAGAACTTGGATTTGGAGAAGGTACTTGGAAGCACAATCCTTTTCCCTTATCCCCATGTGAGAAAAAAAATGGAACACATCCAGCGTAGCAGCAAGAAATAAGAGAAAGGAGAAAAGAGCTCAAGATGAAAAGGGGAGGTCATCACTGGATCAGTTTAGAAGAACGATGAAAGGGAATTAAAAAGTCAGAAGTGGAATACATAATGCAAGTAGCACATTACTTGCAGGGTTTTTTTAAATGATCACAAAGGAAGTAGGCAGTGATGCAGCAGGAGACTATGATAACGAGTCAGGATTAGTTCGTGATGTAAGCATCGGATAAGAAAAATGAAGCAATTGATTTAGTTTCTGGAACAGTTATTATTTTTTATTTACAAAATTTGTATCCTGCCTTTGTGCCCTTACAAGGGCCTCCAAGGTGGCTAACTATTTAAAACATACATTTTAAAACTATTAAAATCAACTCACCAATACACATTGTTAAAACAATTAAAACATTGGTTAGGAAGGAGGGATCATTGAGGGAATGCTGAACAAAACAAGGTTTTCACCTACTGGTGGAAGACAACAAAAGAAGAGACAGACAAATCTCCTCGGGCCTCCCTGGGGCCGCAGCGCTCCAGTGCGGGCCCCGGAAAGACAAAAACGGGCCTCCTCGGACCTCCCCAGGGCCACAGCTTTGGTGCCATGACTTAGAAGACTCTCTTCCAGATTGCCATCGGCCTAATTTCAGAAGGTGGAGGAACCTGAAGCAGGGCCTTTGAAGATGGTCGTAAGGGTTGGGCAGGTTCATAAGAGAGTAGGTAGTCTTTTGGGTATGCTGGTCCCAAACCGTATAGGACTTTGAAGGTCAAGACCAGCACCTTGAATTGTGCCAGGAAACAAATTGGGAGCCAGTTGTAGATGGTCCAAGACTGGAGTGATATGGTCCTTATTGTAACTCAGTAACTTATATAACTAGGGGTCTTTTCGTAGAAAAAGAGCTGCAGGAGCTCATTAGCATACAGTATGCTAATGAGCTACTAGATTATTAGCATAATAGCTCATTAGCATATGCACCGCCCCCTGACATCACCGGAAGAGATGTCAGAAGGGGGAGCAAAAGGGGGGGAGGCATCTTCAAAAGCCTCCCCTTCCCTTCCCTGGGGGGGGGGAAGCGAAGAGAGAAGGGGTTTAAAGTTTAAACCCCTTCTCACTAGAGTTGGGCCACAGAAGGAGGAAAGAAGGAAGGAAAGCGAGAGAGAGTAGAGAGAAGAAAAGAAGGAAGGAAAGAGGGAAAGAAAGAGAAGGAAAGAGGAAAAGAAAGAGAAGGAAAGAACGAGGGAAAGAAAGTGAGAGAAGGGAAGAAGGAGGGAAAGAAAAAAAGGAGAGAATGAAAGGAGGGAAAGAAAGAGTGAGAAGAGAAGAAGGATGGAAAGATGCAGCGCTTCGGTGCGGGTCCTAGAAAGACAGCGACGGGCCTCCCCGGAGCCGCAGCACTCC